GTTAAAAGTCTATTATTGTCTTTACGTCTTCAGAAAGAGCCTCTCCACATCTCTTCACAGTTTTCGTAATTGTTCAGGCTGTGTCTGTGATGTCAAACAATTAAGGGAATAATTTTTCACGTATAAAGAATCAGCCTTGACGAAGAACCAATTGTGTTGTTGAAAATTTACGTTATGTTCCAAAAGCACGTGGTTCACGAGTTTACTGTAGTCAGTCTTTGAGGCAGCGTTACAGATGCCTCACATACAGTGCTTACGGCGGACATTCTATGTACACTTTTTAATGTCATCTGATATGAGGATCCTAAAGACAGCAAGTCATATGAGCTTAGTTGTTATTATGGTTTTATGTAAACGATCATGTTTATATAGCAAAGGTGTATTATTCGCAAAAGCGAGAGCTCTGTATTCGCCCATTTGGTCTTTTTTTATTCAATTCGATGAGATCGAAACGCCTCTATATCAACGCCCAGTGTCTTTAAAGCAGTTTATCTAGGCAACAAAGTATCACCAATACAAGCCTGAGCACAAAGACGTCTTAATTTTCCATCTTTTGGTATCGTTTGTAAAAAAGCCTTCACAAATATGCCAAAACCTTCACAAACTATGCCAAGCAGTATGCCTAGGAATTGGAATGCAATTGGTTTCACATTTTGAGCTTTCTTTTAATCAGATGACAGAGTGACGTAAACAGTTGAATATTACGTACAACAATGATTTCTAGGATAGTTGATATTGGCAAAGATGTTGCTAGTGGTATTAAACCGGCTTAAGATTTTGTGACAGCTTTGTTTAGTTACAATCCATAGCTGTTACAATATAAGGATTTGATATTGCTTTGTATTGAAACATTGATATTGCTTTGTATTGAAACATTGATATTGCTTTGTATTGAAACATTGATATTGCTTTGTATTGAAACATTGATATTGCTTTGTATTGAAACATTGATATTGCTTTGTATTGAAACGTTGATATTGCTTTGTATTGAAACATTGATATTGCTTTGTATTGAAACATTGATATTGCTTTGTATTGAAACATTGATATTGCTTTGTATTGAAACATTGATATTGCTTTGTATTGAAACATTGATATTGCTTTGTATTGAAACATTGATATTGCTTTGTATTGAAACATTGATATTGCTTTGTATTGAAACGTTGATATTGCTTTGTATTGAAACATTGATATTGCTTTGTATTGAAACATTGATATTGCTTTGTATTGAAACATTGATATTGCTTTGTATTGAAACATTGATATTGCTTTGTATTGAAACATTGATGTTGCTTTATATTGAAACATTGATATTGCTGTATTAGTGTTTCCTTTGTATTGAAACAAAGATTTTCTTTGCTCCTTTTCTTAACATCAATAGAGGAACATATCAAAATTTAGCTGGCTTAGTATTGATATCAAAGGGGACCTATATTAACGCATAAATGTTGAAAAAATTAAAACATCATTCATCTTTTAATGAATTTTGTACGACAAAGAGATAAAGCGAGGATTGAGACATTTTTTTATTTTTAACACTTGCCAAGCGTAAAAATAAAAGCCAAAGTAATTGATAAAATCTTTTTACTTTCAATTCCTTGATATTTTCGCAGGAAGTAAACCCTCTCCAGTCAGCCCTGATAAGAAAAAGACTGCATCAGCTAAACCAAAAGTCAGAACTGAATTCCCAGAAACGTGGTTGTGGACTGAAGAGCGTATGGAGTAAGTACTTATTTAGAATTAATAATTCTACCTTCAGGCTTACTGGGAATCTTTGCATTTGTCACAGGCAGTGAAACTGAGTTTGCTGCTGTCTCGTATCTCTAGGATTTGATGATCTGACATCTTGCGATACAGGCACACATCTTCTTCATATTTGCCTGATGTAAATTCTTATGAATCTGATTGGACAAGACCATTGCAGTCCTTGATTGCCTGCCTGTCAGTCATTCTGTGCAATGTAAGTCGGTACCAAAGTTTATGTGGCACACAGGTCGCAAAGGAATAATAACAATATAAAACCAAACAAATATAAACTAAATAGAAAGCACTAAAAATTTGAACTGCAAAGCTTATTTTGTTCGTTTGAGAAAAAATTGGACAAACCTATTCAATTGTTATGGCAGTTAAAACTTAACTGACTGTAGTGAGTTGCATTACATACGATAGTTGTACTGAACTTGTCTACACGGACACATATGCCGTTTTCCACATTTTTAACGTTAAAAGAACCTTTTTTGATATTACAGTTAGTTTTTAGTTTTTTTATGTTCGAGAAGCACATGTTGAGTAAAATGTACCCTTTTTTATCGAAAGTTTCGACGTATATTTTTGACTTCGAATATCGTTGCGACGTCAAGAAGTATCTAGCTCAAAACACGCCAGCCTGACGATTGCAAAAATACAACACTTGTAGAGGGAATACGATCTTTTCTCAATGCACTACAGTCGAAAAGAGCAGTTTGGATTTTTTCACAATTTTCAGTTTACTCAATATTGAAAAATACGTAGCATGGCCTGAAATTTTGTGCTGGGTTGAATTTGACGGGACAGTTAAAAGCGAGCGGTCGCGAGAGAACTACGTAAACATTTTTTTATTCAGGGAATACTTGTTAATGTACTTTGCTTGACTTTAGTAGAAGATTTTCCACTAGCCTCCGGATTTCTTGCCATCAGAAAACAACAAAAGAGTCCTTAAAGGCTACCCTGCTTTAAAGCATTTTTCCATTCCTGTTACTTCTGTATCTCTTTCTAACCACGGTTTTTTTTGCAGTGAAGCAACTGGAGAGAAAGTCATCGATGTAAAAGTACCTGATACCATAACAACCTGGTATGCAAGTGGTTTTGCAATCTCTGGAAAAGACGGTCTTGGTGTTGCAAACCCAGCTGAAATCAGAGGCTTCAAGGCAGTTTTTGTTTCTGTGAATCTGCCATACTCTGTGATTCGCGGTGAGCTGGTCACCATCCCCGTAGTGGCATTCAATTACCTCAGCTCCTGCCTCAACGTGAGTCATTCGAGTTTTCCCCTTCTGTTCAGATCCACTTAGATCTTGTTAACCTTATACATTTAATGTAGATTTTACAAGACATCAGGTATGGTAGGCAAGTTCGTTTGTCTTTTACCATGAGAAAATGCAGTAATAATTTACGTCAAAGATATTGGTCTTGCCAGAAAAATTGCATTTTCATGAGATACTTCGTAAAGAAAACTTTTTAAGTTTCACAGGTTTTAACTTTATTGTTGTGCTCCACATTATATCATCAGAGTTCAACAATTATCACCGTAGGTTCGCATTTCACTGAAACGTTCCAAAGATTTCGAATTAATTACTCGTAACCACGTCAACACATGCATTTGCGGTGGTCGCACTGCCACAGTTATGTTCAAGTTTTATGCACGAAGACTGGGACGTATCGCACTGGAAGCCACAGCCGAAAGCCAAGCCAAAAACAACTGTCCAAGCTTCGTCGAATTTGATTCAAATAACTACATTGATATAGTTAGGAAGAAATTGTTGGTCGAGGTTAGTTATTCAGCAAATTGCTATCAATGTGTGTCTGAAGCCTTGTCTCTGGGTATAGTATTCTATATTTGTTCTTTTGGTAGGGGGAGGGGGGAGTGAGTTCAGAAAATCGCTCTTAGAGGAATGATAAAAGGGAAGTTGAGAGTGATAATGGAAATAGAGAGGAATAACGCAAAATTAGAGAAAGGAAGGAAAGTTTAGGTGAACAGAGAAACAATTGGAGGCATGGTAAGAAACGTGGGAGAAAGGAAGGTTAGAAAGAGGAAATATAGGAAAGAAAGTATAGGAGAATCTAAAAAGTAACGCATGGGGATCCTACTTCAGAAAAAAAGAAAAAGTTGGAAGGATTAAAGTTTAGAAAAGTCTAAACTGAAATTGGACTTGTTGTTCCAAGAGCCATAAAAGATATGAATGCTTCAAAGATTGAAAGGAAAGATTGTTAACGAAAATAACGAAGCAAAATACAGAAAGGCATGTATATGGGGGGATATCAGATGATTGTGGGGAAAGGACTTATTTGAACATTCGACCCCCGTGCCTATGAAACTCAAGGCCTGTGGAATGTGACTGCTGGAATTTCTATTTTTTCAAGGACTTTCCGCTGAAAAGTTATTAACTGTTCGTGATTTTTAATTTTTTAGTTGAAAACAGAAAAGCAGTACTATCTTTTCCTTGTTTTAGCCTGAAGGTATCGAGAAAGAATACACATTCAACTCTCTGGTTTGCCCCAAAGGTATGTTTGATTTCGACTTGGTCCTTTTTATGTTTAATCATTTCTTTGCCAGTTCTTTACCAGTTTTCGCAAGGCTAATCTTAAGTAGTGCGTAAGCCCCTAAAACAGGTCATGTTTCTCTATTTCGGTGCAGTTGCATGTTCTTCAAATTTTGAAGCAGTACCACATTTATGAATTCTTTTGTATTTATTTCACTGAAGAGAAAGGCTAATTTTTTCTTCAAGCCTTAACAATTTTTATGGTCACTTTTAAGATTGAATCGTATATTTCTTGTGGTTGTATTTAATGCTTTGTAGTAGCTGTTATTTTACATGAGATGAAATGGGCTGTATTTTATAATTTCATGCAGTATGACATTAGGCTGGTTCTGAAAATATAGTTGCAAAGCATGCCGGCTGCGCAAGAGCCTTTAGATTGCCTTTATGAAATCAATATATTCTTTAATTATTCGACATTTTCATGCATGAGACATTTAAAGCAAATGTAATTTAGATAAATGATATCCACTAAATGAATTTATTTTTCATTTTTCGTTCATAAAACTAAATTATTGAGCTTTTTATTTACAGAGAATAGTTCGATTAGCGAAAAAGTCAAGCTGTCAATTCCAGACAAGGTTGTCCAAGGATCAGTGTACTCTGAGCTACGAGTTATCGGTAATCCACTTTTTCTGAATATTATCTTTCACATCGAAATCCAATATTTTCAGTTTCTGATACATGATCATGATATCACAATCAAATCTGATACGCCATGAACGTTCAGCTATCAACGATCACATGCAATTTCTATCACTATCACGTGCTATTTCTACCACTATCACGTGCTATTTCTACCACTATCACGTGCTATTTGATTTTAAACTTTTTGGTAATTTAAAAATCATTAGAAAAACCCCTGCCAAGCGATCTGCTGGCATATCAATTGGCCAGATGCACAGAGTACAATATCTAAAGCCTATCTAACCAAGCATGTTGATTTCTGATCATAACAATTATTTCATAAATAGCAAATTAATTTTTTGTTTCTGATTTAATGATTTGATTGAACTTGTAAACGAATTTGGAATTTTTTCGACATCATATAGGGTCTTTCTTTTCTGAACATCAAATTCTAAATAATAACAGTTTTTTAAAATTTTGCTTTTTAAGAAATATCTCCTGTATTGGTATTTCCTTATTTCTTTGTAAAGATATTCCTTTAAGGAACCGGTAGAAAATTTATTTTCGAATGCTTTGCTGCATAAGAGCAAACGTTTCTCTGTATGATAGCAGCATTGCATTCATAGAAGTTGGTCGGGTTTCTATTTCATCGAGACCATTAAACTTCCAGGCGATTTAATGGGACCAAGTCTTAACAACATCGATAACCTGCTAAAGATGCCCTATGGTTGCGGAGAACAAAACATGCTGAACTTCGCTCCAAATATTTTCATTATGCAATACTTGAAGGCAACAGGTCAACTTACGAGTGAAATTGAAGAAAAAGCAGTCGGTTATACTTTGCAAGGTAAAAAAGTTGCATGTTGTTTTAGTTAGCCTTTCTGATATCGTACGTATGTTTTTTGTTTTTAGTTGAATTTATGATCGTTTGAGAGCAATTCCAATCCGTTGTGTCTCTTTTGACTTACACAGTTTCATTATATGCTATAGGGTTTGTTATATTGTGGAAATGAAGATAAAAGTTCCTTAAAATCAAGGATGATTTCATCTAAAACACAATGCAAGCTTGGCAAATGGATGTATAAAGCTACTGTTCTACACGCATCCTTTAAATGTGTTTTTTATAATAAAAGCTATGCTTGCCTTTGCACACAGGATACCAACGACAGCTTTCATACAAACACTCTGATGGCTCTTACAGTGCTTTTGGCAAAAGTGACAAAGAGGGAAGCATGTGGTGAGTGTTTATGAAATATGATGCTAAACAAAGAACCTATTATTTTGAATATATTTTGGAAAGCTATTGCTTAATCAATAACTATTACCGATAACTATCAATAACAATAACTATTATCGTTTCTCTCAAACTATATTCAACTTTTTGAAAGCTTTGTTATTTACCTCAAAACCTCTTTACCCGTGTTTCATTGGACACGTCCTCCAGAAGCCATATGTAAATCTATTTCTGAAAAAATGGTATTTGTTACATAGATCTCATTGTTATTGTTTATATTTGTGAATTAAACAGTTTATGCCCGTATGCTTGCTTGCACTTATGATTTTACTCTCTTTAGGCTGACCGCCTTTGTCCTGAAATCATTTGCCCAAGCGCGTGAGTTCATTGATATTGACAAGAAGGTACTGGCAGATGCTAAAAAATGGATCCTTAGCAAGCAAAACAAAGATGGATGTTTCCCAACCATTGGAACACTTCACAGCAAGTCAATGAAAGTGTGTATATATCGATATTTACATAATATTTTTGCCATAAAAGGCAGGAAATATCCATAGGGTATGAATTAAGCGATGTTGTGGTATTTTGAAGAGTTGCAAACACCGTTTTTAGGTCCTCTTTGTTTTCTGCTTTAAGTGGAGTTTCTGATTCGTAGACCCAAAATTTATAGCAGCTGTATTTTGCAAACCTACTCTTTCCTTCTTTCTTTTAGTAATATATGAAACCAACTAAGAAAAATTGCTTTATAATCAAAAACGAAATTGAATTTCGACTTATTGCTCCGAAGCTCATAACAACGGTTTACCATTTCTCTAGCCATACTCGCAGTGAAAGCACAGCAAGCAGACTGGACGATTACCTTTGGCGCATAACTCAATTGTACATAAATACTTGATGTTATTTCCTTTTTCATTATAATTTTAGGGAGGAGTTAAGACTCCTGTCACTCTCACTGGATATGTTGTTGTCGCCTTATTGGAAGCAGACATGAAGCCAGAGGTTTGTGAGATTTTTGAAACTAGCGAATGGGAGAGAAGATGTACTGGTGTATTGTTTTCATTTCTAATTCCAAATTTTTATAGCTTGTTAAGGGTCAAAGTTCGTTAAGAAACCGTCACTTTTCAATATACATTATATACAATCATTAGCAATGGTCACGTCTTTATACCCATCATGAAAGATAATCACTGATTTTTTATGTCTTCTACTTTTCTAGTATGATTTTACAATGTCAGTACGATGTAATCTTGAGACACGTTTTGTTTTGCTATAGAATCCAAACATAAAAATGGCCATCAAAGAGTGTATTAAGCCCCAGCTCAGTCAGGTCAATGACACTTACTCGTTGAACATATTAGCCTACACCATGGCCAAGGCTGGTCGCAACAAGGAGCTGACTTACCTGTTAACCAAACTTGACAGCATGACTAGGAAGGAAGGTGTGTATAACGAGAACAGTGCTGTTCAACTGGCATGCTGCCTGTATCTAAGATGGTACAATAAAACAACGACTTTCTACAAGAAATGAATTATTAGTACGACATTTCGAGCAAAACTCTTCATAACTCTTCTTTATCTCTTTCACCTGATGAAGAGTTATCCTCGAAATTCCGTACTAATAATTCTTTTCTTCTAAAAAGTCTTTATTTTATAGTATCAATTTTTTGTTCATTACTCGACGTACAACACGCACAACTCCATTGAGTATCTCAGATGGCTCCGTGGTCAGCGTTGCGGACTTTAGATTCAAGGTCTTGGGATTCGAGTCACTGACATGACCAGACTTTTAGATAGAAAAAGTGGAGTCGCCAGCTCTCTTTAATTTCAGGCATAGCAATCATGAGGTCTGGCCACATAGAGATAAAGAACGAGCATAGCTTTTCAGTGCTATTAAACCTAAGAATGTAAAAAGTGACAAAATGAGAAAATACAAACAAAGCATTTAGCTCTAAAGATGACGCCACTGTGTCTATATATGCTGAATGCAAGTTTTCCTTGATTTGTTTATATGGTACTTTTTCACACGCCAAAAAACAACAAATTGCATTGCAGTACCGTCTTCTGTTGAATACAGATGCATGCTCATAATAAAAAGACACAACATATGTTTTCTTGATTGCCGTGAGAAGATAGTCAATGAGAGGTGAAAAGGACGAGTAGATCATTCCCCTTAAGAGATTCTTCTTTTAACATCTTTATCTTACAAGGGCCCTTTAGCATATTGACTAGAATGATGGCGCCAAGCCTCAGTGACGTTTCTTTTTTTTAAAGAAAAGCTAATTATCCCTTTCCTAATAAAAACATAGGCTTAACCCCGTCCCTCCCCAACAGCAGTCTTATAGATAGAATCGTGATACCTGAATATTCTATGTAGTTGTACGTCAAATCAATGTTACACTTTATTACTTTGACGTTATCTTATGCAGGTGACACACGATACTGGGGAAGCCCAAAGCCAAAAGCTGAACCTGAAAATGACAGGTTCTTCTCACCTTACTATCAAGCAAAGTCAGATGACATCGAGCAAACAGCCTACGGTTTGATGGCACGGGTACCAGAAGGGTCGGTCTCAGCTGCAGTTGGAAATGTTGACATTGTCAGATGGCTGTCAGCGCAAAGAAACAGTCTAGGAGGATGGGCATCAACACAGGTCTGTTTTTTGTCGTTCATTTTCGATATAAAGGGCCTGAATGTCATCAAAATCTAACGGACGGTTCAGAATAAACTGCTGTGGCTCTCCATTTTCTTCTATCCTGTGCAAATCTTCCACCAGCAATTTCTTTGATGTTATCGCTATCCCCAACTTTTGTCCGAGAAGCAAATCATTGCTTATGTACTTCCCTCTTAGTATGTGTCCGATAAAAAACATTGCTTCTATCTTAAGTTGTTAGTAACCTCTCGTTTACAGTCATCTTTTCCAGAACCCATTGATTGGTTTTCTTTTCAGTCCAACTGATGCGCAGTAAACGACTGTAGCACCACAAGTGTAGTGTAGTTAATCGAATTATCTAAGCGGGTTCCTGGCACTTTTTAATATCAACAAAAGAACTGTCAAATTGTATGCTACACAGCAAATATTCTTAAAATGCAGTTTACCTGAGAGAATTTCGCAGGAGAATAGTTTTAGTAGAACTAATTTCTACTTCCCTATCCATCATTTTAACCAAAGACATTTTCAATGCATGTTGTCGTTTTTATCAAGAGTGAAACCAGAAATTATATTTGATCACCTTATGGAAGCTTCTGATGTATCAGTGTTGTCAAGGATCTTTATAAAATTGTTCCCTTTACACTAACAGTTCATTTTGCCATAAGATGAAGTCCATTGCAAGTTCCCTACAGCACACGATTGCAAAAAGATTGTAGCGAGCATTTCACATCAAATTATTGAAGAAGGCTTGCAAAACTGTGATACATATCGTTAGGGTACTTTGGAATAGAACAAGGGGCTTTTGTGTCTTGTGCAAAGAAATTAGGTGTTCGATTTCCGGTGTCCCGTCCCCATTTGTTGTACCTTAAAGAAGGCTTTGATAAAAGCAAACATTTTGAGACATACTGAAGCTATTCACTTGACACTTCCCAGACTATAAAACGTCAGAATAGGGATCGAAAAATATGAAATACCCAGTTGTGGATTGTAAAAGACCAATGAGAAGTTTCTTTGCGTTAAATTTGGATGTTAAGGTATGTTGTTGGCAGTGGCGGAAACCTGGGGGCGAGGGGAGGCGACCGCTACTTCAGAGGACAATATTATTTTGTTCTAAAACAATGGGAAATGTGACGTCATTTTATTGAAACAATAGGCTTACCCCCTCCCCCAATATTTGACTAAGTGTCCGCCACTGGTTGTTAGTTTCACATGTATGAGAATATTTCTTTTTATTGTAGGATACTGTTCTTGCAATGCAAGCTTTGGCTATGTTTTCATCCATTGTGCATGGTGGAGAAATAGATCTCACAGTCGATGCTGCTGTACCCGGTTTGGCACACAGATTCAGCATCAACAACAAGAACAGTCTTGTTCTGCAGAAGATCAAGGTTTTATGCCTTTCCAACTACAGCTTTGCTATAGAAGCTTTCCTTTTATTAGATTCCCTTATCTTTAAGCTGTTAGTAGCTTATTTTACACGCATGTAGCTGAATTGAGAACTTGAATCCCTTAATTTTGTTTCAGATTCCAGCCAAATTCCCAGCTACCCTCAAGACCTTTGCAAAGGGAAAGGGATGCGCACTTCTATCGGTAGGTTCCTCTCCATTCTCCCTTTTTAAAGTTCAAGACTCTTTCTTTCAATTAGAGTTTTTTCATGGGAGCTTAAACTTCAATTAAAGCATAATCTGCCTTTTTCACATTATACATTTCACATTGCACTTTTAACACTAAAGAGAAGGCCACAGTACTCATAAGCGACGATTGATTTTTGCTTTGAGAAAGCATTTTTTCTTATAAAGCTGGAAAATTTCACTTTCAAAGCCACGTTTTTGCTTATGTTCCTAAATTCAGCTTCTTTTTTTACGACAATATAATGTCTGGTAAGAAATCAAACCTATTACTACGCAAAACTCTCAGAAAGGACCTTTCGTCTCTTGGCGTCGTAAACTTCTTCGGTCTGCCAACCTTTGGTGAATTGTTTACTCTACTTTTACACACCACAAAAGCTGCACTCATTGAGCAGCCAACAAGCGATGCAATTTCACGGAACCCATTTGTGTTATTTTCGCAGAAAACAATGTTCAAGCGCTGCTCATAACTCAGTTCTTGATTTTTCAGAACTCCTTTGCTAACGTCTCAAGGCTTATAGAAATTTTAAGGTTGAAGTTTTGTGAATTGTTTGGCATACATAGAAGGCATCGAAACATCAACAATGTCTTGCGAAAATTTAATGGAAATAGCTACCATACTTTTTTAATGAAAAAGATTTTTAAGAAGTCTTTCCAACTTTATTGCATAAAATGTCTTCGGAATTTCGAAGTTTGTCCCAATACTTTTTTAACATACGTGTAGCTTGAGTATAATCAATAATTTCATGAAGTTTTAACGTTTTCATTGATTAAGTAAACTTTATTTCAGACTTAGAATGCTCATACCTGAACAAGGTTCCGTTACAAGCCCGAAAAGTGCAACACCATAGTTCTTTTATCAAATTGGTCCTAATACTTTTGAACATAAGTGTAAAAAGGTTTTCAACTGTTTTTGAAAGGAGAAACTACAAGCAACAGAATATAAAAATGCTATTCAAGTGATTCTTTCCAATTTTTACCCAAATAGACTAAAAATGATTCATTTAAAAAAATGTATTTTCTCTTTTCCATCTCATTTGACTCTTGACTTTTATTGTTATGTTCAAGGCATCTGTCAAATACAACGTCAAGACTGTGCAAGAAGAACCTGCATTTAAATTGGTTGTCCGATTGGCTCCTTTGAGGAAAACAAAAAAATTGAAATTTGGTAGATGTATGTCTCAGGAAATTGATATTTGCGCCACGTAAGGATTGTTTTTTATTTTTCTATACATAAAGAGATTAGGGATGAGATCCTGCTATTCACTGTGGGAGTGGGGGCAATAGGGGGTGAGCTCCTGCCATTCATTTTGGGGATGGGGGCAAAAAATTTTTTTGAGATGATGATTAACTTTCTGTATTTATAGTTGTTAAAAGCAACTTCTACTTAACACTTTTGGTTTATGCCATCCCTTTGCACCACAAGTGCTTGTGCCTCTGCCTAAAATTTCCATCGCTTTTCTCAAAAAACTGGCTAATAATGATGACATTGATAGATATCTTAATTCTATTAGCAACAGTATTTTACAGATGAAGTGAAAGGACATCATAATCAGAAATGTAATATTTTGTTGTCAGGGGGGTAGAAAGAGGGGGGCAGGGGCCCCAATCTTCTAGAGGATACCCGAATCAAAACGTTTGCAGATCTTATTGAGTTTTAAAATGCGTTGCTTCTTAAGCATCTTTTCCATGACTGTGTTAGTTTGTACATGTTTGTGCATAACATCTTTGCATTATTTTTACTCTAGTAATTTCTATGTGTTGGTAAATTTTGAGCCCCCAATGTCAAAGTCTTAACTAACCCCCCCCCCTCCCCAAGGTTGTTGTAACTCTTGATCATGTAACCTTCACTTTCAAATTTAAATGATACTTATTTCTTCTTTGGCTTTTTATTTGGCAACTAAATACTACAAAACCGATCAACAAAACAAAAATTAATTACTCACAATGTATGCTCTGAATTATTTAGTTGGCTAAAGGAAGAAGCCTCAAATATGGCAATAATTTCTGTGAAGATGCTTTCGGGATTTGATGCTGTTGAAGAAAGCCTTCAAAAGGTAACTATCAGAGTTATTCAAGTTTGGTCTTTAAATTTAGATTTTAAACATAAATAGCTTTTAACTTGAGATTATAACTTATAGGGAGCTTTTCTTTTGTGTTTCGAGTGGTCATCTCATTACCCTGGAGAAATCCAATTCTTGAGTTTTACATTTAAACTACATAATCGCACTATCTTATTTCTATTCCCATTTATGTTGCTCAATTTGTGCACAGCGATGCAAGTCCTTTTTCCTTTTAAGAGATAATTTCTTTGTTCATCTTTGACAATTTATATTCTACCAAGTGCAAAAAAGGGTACCCTCCTTTTCCAAAGTTCTTAAGGGCATGGCCAGTTTCAAAAGTTTCAGCTTCAGACTCCAAGGCTCCTTAACAATACTTGTATTATTAAGGAGCCTTAGAGTCTGAAACTAAAATTTGTGAAGTTTCTTATAGACAGAGACAAGTTTCTTTGAATATTTTTGAATAAAATCGCTTGCAATTTTTTGTTTGGAATGGTATCCTAAAAATGCAAACCAGCAGGATGATATCACAGATTAAGTATAGATCACAAGTGCAATGTGGCCCCCATGTGACATACAATCACAATAATCAAGTATTTCAAATATTGAATTAATATGAATGAATTTTTTATAAAAGGCTTTTGGCAAGAAACACTGTAAACTTTTTCAGAGTACCCTGTGCCCTTGTTAAAATTGATCATGTTGCTTCTATTAACATTTTTTACATATACGACAACCTATAGGAAGTTTATTCATTTATAATTAATTTATTGCATTTTGCTGTAATGCATCCCGAGTCACATCTACACTATTACCTTCATTGCGATGGTAGTGAATGCAGAAAGTAGGTCTGTCTGCTCTTTTACAGCACAGTCAAAGCACTCTGGAATGTCCAGAGTCAACAAAACATTGGGTTAAAATTGAACCAAAACATTTTCAAAAGTTCCTTATGCTTGAAATTTTGAATTTAGGCTTGCATTACCTTCTGAAATAAAGAGAACAAACATGCAAGAAATCTTCTTTAGATTTTAGAGAAAACTGCCTTTATTTAGAAAAATATAGGGCTCAAAGATTTCCACTGTTTGATGCATGGGCTCTAGAGTATCAAAACCTAGATCTACCCCAAGCAAGAGTATCAAAACCTCTGAATTGTGCTACGTTCTGAATTGTTCTTAATAGAGGCTACGATTTTCTACATTCAACCAAATTTCCACATTTCAGATTGCAATACCCATTACTTTGCATTCCTTAAAATACAAGTTTCTTTCCTTTTAGAAGCTAAACTCAACTTTTCTCGTACCTTAGTGACATTGTATCCATTAAAATGCAAGGTGTAGCCACTTTAAGAAATCAAATTATACTTCACTTATAAGCTTATAAGAGCTCAGTAAAGATCAAACCATGTGAACTTTCGACATCATCAGTGTTATTGATTTCAAATATTCTATTATTTTATACTAAAGAACATCGCAGGACGTATTATTTGTTTATAAACTTCAATTTTTAGGCTGTTTCACGTGACCCCTTGTTAAAAGAGTACGAAAAGAAAGGAAAAGACTATGTTTTCTACTACAGTCGTGTAAGTTAAACATTTTCTTTCGCTTATAGTAAAAATTTGAAATTCAATGGTCTAATACTTGGTAAAACCTTAGGAGGTGATTTAAGATGTGTTTGTACAGTCCCTATAAATATCCATGTTGGTTGTTGTTAATAATATCAAGCTCTTTTGGTGTTTGTTTCTTATTTAACTGCAGGTTCTCTCTCGATTAGTTAACCTTCTTAGAGAGCTCCTCCTTAATCAATTAATCTAAAATACAATGCAAAGTATCTGATATTTAATTTTAGTCAGTATTGTTGACTTTTAGTTGTAATGTTTTCAATTGTAGCAGGTAATTGTTTGGAATTGTACAGAAGGTTAATTGATGATGATGAATTGTTGAATAAATGCATGTATAATTAAACAAAAAACAGACGAATGTCCCTTGAACTAGAATCAAACGAAATTGAAATACTCATTAAGAAGTAACATTGAACTGGGCAAATAACTTTCTTTTCACATGCCCTCTAAGATTGTGAAATTCTTTGTTGAAAATATGTAATGAAACAGATTCAATACATTGTTTGTATTTTAAGCACAGAAATTGTTTGTATATAACTTGTATTTTAGGTAAACATACCCTTGATGGATTTTGTTTGTATGCATATTAAATATTCTGAAATACTTTATTTGACAAATTTCAGATTGGAAAGATAGGTGTTTGTCTCACATTTAAAATGAAGCAGGCCCAGATTGTGCAGAACATCAAACCATCTTCTGTTGTTGTCTATGATTATTATGACAAAGGTAAACTTTTAAAAATGTTTCATGCAAAATATAACATTTTGTGGTATTTATGCGATACCAGGTCCAGTAAAGCAGCATTTAGGACAAAATATTGAAGTTTTTACAATTACAGAATAAATTGATTTTAAACATGTAGGTACAACTAAAACCTGTGATTCTGCAATCAGGCAGCATTTACTGGAAAACCCAGATTGTGCAAAAAACTATAATGGCAACATATTTCAGATTATTGGTAAAGCCCAATTGTTGTTCCATCTGGCAGTTTTGGAATCTATCTACATAAGCACGAAAAAACTGCTATGTAAAAACAAAAGGAGTTTGTTTTCACCTTAGGACTCCATTGGTAACATTCTTAATAGGCAAGCAGCACTGATTGGTCAACCTCAACAGTCATGTACTCACGTTTCTGATTGGCCTATTTCAATTCACAACTGGGTACATATATTTCCTAGCATAGAGTTTTTGATCTATGTCTGACCTTTTACACTCTGAAGAATGTCAGACGAAAAGCTTTAGTTTACTCAAATTTTTGCTTTTTTCAAAGCCATTTTCAAATTGTAATAACATTGTTCTGAAAGGTGCTGAACGATTGAATTAATAGGTCAAAAGTAAGCCATTCAGATTTTAAAAATGTTGGTTTTGGAGCTACATTTCTTTTGCTGTAAAGAGAGTTATTTACTATATTATGAGCAGTTCTTTTGAAACTTTCTCAGCAAATATAACTAAATTGTGACCAGACAAATAACTTATAAAGGAATACCACCATAAAGGAAAGAATTTCAAATTTTCAAACAACTGATTTCCACTCGTTAATAAGCATATAAATCTTTATTTTAGGCATGTCAGCTACAACAGCATATGAAGTAACACCAGCAAAGTGCGCTGGCATTCATACACCTGATATATAATCGGTGATTCTTTATAACTTTGAAAAACATTTCTTTTACATGCTGCTTTTTATTAATCTTTTTTAAACTGTTTATGTAACTGTGATGTTTTAATAAAAATGTTGGATAAATTTTAAACATTTTGCTTCAAATCTGTTCTACTGATTTTCTAACAACAACAACAACAGAAAGATTTAAATAAAGTGAAGGATTTTCAATATTATATATAGATGTAATACATTCACTTCAGATATTATTAATCAGTTTGAGCAAAGTGGTATATTATGTCATTGGTGCCATTCTTGAAAAGTGTACACTATGACCTATGGACCAAATAACCCTTTTAAATGGTAAATATATGTTTTTGGGAAATACAGACAAACTTTCTCTTTGTCCTAGTAGAATGGGGATTGTTATATAGTTTATATATCCCATATGGCTGTTCAGATCAGCATATTTGTCTATCAATGTGGGTCATATTCTGTGCTCTGCTTATCCTCATAATCTGCAGGCGAAGAACATTTTGTTAAATGGTGCATTTTTTAATTGTTCAATTTGCCAGTATAACATTTGTTTGCAATATATAAATATATCGCAACATGTGAAGGTTCAAGGAATCATCTAAGCATATGCTCTGACACCAGAACTTCATGTTTCCAGCCAAAAAACATAACATTTTAGTTTAAAAAACCTCAAAATCCACAAGTTTTCATGATTGGATCTGTGTTACATTGCTGGTGAGATCCTTTAAAGCAACTGTACTCTTGACAACAGTTTAGATTTGTCGATTGGTATCAAAGTGTTCGCTAAGAATTATTCACCAGCCTTGTTTATTTAGTAGTAAGGTCTTCTTGGATTGTTCTGTAAAGAGAAAACAGCTGAAGGTGAATTTTAGAGGAAAGAAGCATTGTGTGAAATGCACATATAAAACAGAACTAAGCAATGGGCAAGAGTAAGTATTTGAATGGTCAATGTTGATATATTAAAAGTCACAAGTCAACAAAAGGACAACTTCTTTTAAACAACATGGCTGCATTTGTCCATGAAAATTTGATCAATTAAGCTACTAATATAATTGCAGTTTTAGTGCTAACATTCCAAGTCTTTTATCACTTACCAGAGGATTTGGTCTGAATTTGTATGCAAGCATCATTCTTTTCCGATATATGTCAAATTCATCATCATCTTTTGCGACTTCAGCAGGCTTTTCAACACCAACACCGGCATTATCAAATGAGGTTGCTCCCCTAAAGTATAATCACCATTCATTATCATAATCAGAATTGGAACTGAATAAACAGTCTTGCTTCTACGTTTGATGAATGTTTTAAACATTATCTACCAAAAAAGCATTTCCTCTAATCATCCCAGTGGCAGTACAAGCAATCAGGCTCAGGGGGGACAAAAGAGAAGTTTCAGGCCATGTCCTTTTTGCCGCCTGAAAACGCCATTTTACCAAGAAGGAATGCCAATTTTACCTGAAGGAAACGCCTATCACTAAACTTTGGTCACATAAAGACATTTTCAAAATCATAAGATTACATTGTAAAAAATTTTGTTGCCAAAACATTAGCCTTCTCCCAACATTTTCTCATTTTCTATGGTTGAGAACCTGGGGGAAGTGTCCCCCCAGTCCAACCCATGGCACTGCTATTGAAACACCTAGTAGAATTTTGACTGGATTTTATTATCCAGAAGTGCAGGGGGGGGGGCAAACTAAATTCAGGATAAACCAAATCTAGCCTGGATTTTGCATGGTGCCCAAACCTAGCCCCTTAGCTATTTTGCCTTGAAATGCACGTATACAGCTTTTATTCAATTTTGGGTAAAATTTTCGAAGATGACAAGTAGGCCATTTTCCACGTGGAAGGGTGTCACATCTCATCATACTCCAAGAAATGTCAAATATTGTTCAGTAACTAATGTACATTTGCCTCTTAAACATTGATTTTGATTGTTCCAGTTTATGGTTGGTATTATATCAATCGAATAAACAGCATAATTGTAGAATAATATATCAAACTTCTTTGTAATAAAAGTTTTACTTCAAATTCTGATAGAGGACACTGCATACAAGTATGCATGTGCAATTGATTTTATGATAATATAAAGTTAGACATTTTTAAAGGGACCAGTTTGTAATCAGCCATTAACGAATGCAAACAATGATAGTTAGATACCATATGTGGCTACAGCATCTTACTTGTTTATAGGTTCTTTTATGCCTTTGCCACTGGATCCAAGGCCAGCACCCTCTTGCCAACCGGCTTGCTGCAACATTTTGTAACCAATGTTATCCTCTTTGATCTTAAACTCAGCATAGTCTGATAAATCAGCCTTTCTCCCTTCTTTTATTGCCTTTACTTTTTCTTGAAATTTTGCAAGCTCTTCAGGGGGTAAAAAGTCCCCCATAAAGTGCTTCCCTTGCGCTCGTTCAGTAGCAACAGAAGAATCACCTGAAAGGAAAACACCAATAAGAAGATTGTTGTGTAAAGCAAATTCATGTATTTGGTATTTAAATGTTACATCAGGGCTTTTTCTCAGAAATTTAGGTTCTTGATAAAAGAGCTGGTGATCTTCCAATCATCTTGACCATACCTTATTGCGACCACTTTGGTACAAATTTTACCTTTGTAGCACTTTTGGTCTTTCTGTCACAACTCTTTGCACATGTACCTTTTTTATTTTCTAATCGACCCTGTGGCATCACTGGCGAAACAAAATAAGTAGCAACACAAATTATCAAATTTCAAAAAGGGAAGTTCATGAACTTGTTTCATCAGAGTCAAAACAGTGAAATAAAGACCACTTCACTTCACACCACTTCAGTCATGTAGATTTTCAACAACTTAATTCATCTCTGAAAGCAGGGCAAAGGAACAGAAATATATTTACCTTTAAGTCAATTTTGACCTGCAAATGTTTGGCAAAAGAATATTTAATTTTTATCTTGCTGTGGTGAAAATCTTATTTATCTTGCCCTGTTTGAAGAACTGTTGCTAAGATACATACACAACTGGTAAGATTAGCTCTAAAATTATCAGTAGATTACCAAGGGTCTTTTCCATTTCTTTCTTTCTTTTCTTGTGTTCCCATGTACCACCATCAATTTCTTCATCTGAATCATACTCATACCTTGGTTTGTCTTCATTTTTTTGGGCATTATGTCGTGCTTTTATAGCCTGCTCTGCAATAATTCTTCTGTACATGGCTTCAATCTTATGTAACAAAAACACCAGAAATTACAAAGAGATTTTTATGCACTTTCAAATTAAAAAATATTGAGCTTTCTATTCTTGTTTTGCTTATTGATTTTCGTGGCATATTGTAAAAAAGTGATTATTTTACTACTGATTTTATAATTGGGTGTTCATAATATAAGGGTGTACATTTAATATTCATTAGAGTTGCCATGAAATAATGAGCACTGAGTTTTAGACAAACTGAAAACTCCTAGTTTCCTTAAGCGTTAGAAATAAGCATGAAATAATTTACCTCTTGTTGCATCTCTATTTGCTTTTGCCTTTCTGCATCTACAGTGAGACTGACCCCAGATCTTGCTAAAGCTGCCTTTTGTTTTATCAGTGCTTTTGCACGCTCAAATTCTTCCATTATATCGCTTGGACCAGGAGTGGCCTGTGAAGATGAACTTCCTTGGGCAGGAACTGACTGGACACCAACTGGCTGCTGAGGATCCACAGATGAAAATGATGTTGCATCAGTGGATTTATCATCCCATCTGTTCTTTCTCTTTCTCTTCCCCAGTCTTTCTTGTTCTGAAGCCTTGTTCTTCTCTATTTTTTCTTTCACCAGGTTTCTGTATTTCTGATATGCAGGGTGTGATACATCAAAAAGAAACCTTAAAAATAAGATGAATATGTCAGTAAGACTTCAGACAAGCCTGAAATTTCCTTTCATTAAAGAAATGAAATGGAAAAATTCGATTATTATGCTTTCTTTACAAACTTCTAGCCAAAATCCTTTATGGTTACAAAACCAAAAAATGTTTCATTTAAAAACTCAGATGTATGGATTACAAAATATTCAACAAATGTGTTCTGATATGAGCAGTAGTGGAACATTTCTGCCTAGAGTTACATCATAGCACAGCACCTTTTTAACAGTTTTATATTTTGACGATATGGTGCACAGATGAGTCTCCAAAATGTGAAAGTGGTCAATGAGACTTTGTGCAAATTAAGTCTATGCCAATTTGTTTTTGAGCATGTAAATAACATTTTAAAATCTTAAGCAGCTATATTTCTAATATGCAATCTCAATTCCTTTAGCATAGTAAAAATAATAATCACCCACTGTTGTTAGGACAGCTCACAGCAAGGCAATGGATTTTATCAAATATTAATAGATTGGTGAAATGTCTGAAAACATGACAAATAAATCTTGAATTCGTCTATGAGGCAGATATTAAAGGCTCAAAACAATTCTTTGAGGTTGCTGTTTTACTCTCCATTTATAGGTCAACTGTATATTCACAGCAGCTTAAGGGAAAAAGCATGATTACAATGTTATCTTAAAATGTTTTTATCTTAAATGTTTGATGTTGTTTGGAAAGCATATGTATATGGTTACCAGAAATTATCATTACCAGAAAGTATTTAAGGCTTTCATTGCCATACATATTTCAGCAATGGTCGCTATATTGGTTGAAGATGATGCATGACATGCATGGCTAGGTTACATTCCATGAACAAAACAGTTGTTTTGAATCAGCTTTTGGCATGCCGACTATATAAATGGTCAGGTCAGCATAAAAAAGGTGACCATGAGTGTATCCTGCACCGAGCTGGGATTTAATGCCAGGGTTGCAAAATGAAGACCAAAGTTACAAAAATTGCAATCTTATGGGAACTGCTGTAGATGTCTGTGCTCTTGTGATCACCTCACCTGTATCGTTGATCTTTTTGGTACTTCATTCTTGCAAGTGCTTCTGCCTCATCACCTTCTTTTGCAACTTGAATTGCAAGATCTTCTGCTGCTTTCAATACATCTTCCTCTATGGTAAGAACTGAACATTTTCCATAAGTCTCAATTCCTAGCAACAATTCCTACACTTAAAACTTAACATCCAATTTTATCTCTTCTTTTCTCTGAATCAGCTGTGAAACATATGTGATATTATGCTGGATAGACACCTAACCCAGACTTGTTCTGTCCATTAACGCAGCAAGGTTGATGAGCCTGTAGAAAAGAAAACTTACCTGTTTCTTCGGTTTCATTTTCGGGTACTTCAAATGCCGTAGGCCTTGGTAAATTACTGGCAATTGGTTTCACTTCCTTTTTCCTCGCACCTCCCAGGTTTATTGTGAGTTTGCCGGAATTCGATTCATCCTTTTTATTGCTTCCTTTCTTCACTGTACTTTCTTTTTGCATTGCCTGAAATCGGGCAAGAAAGTTTCCATCATTGACCAGCAAAACAGGGCTAGGCCCAGCTGCCTGAACTGACGTTCCAGACATCAGTTTTTCACTATCTTTTTTAACAGATGTTCTTTCTAAAACTTGACGCTTTTTTTCTTCAATTAGTCGCCTTTGTTCCTGTAGTGAATTACTCATTTTAAGAGTGTATTTTGTGAAAATATTTTACGATTCCTTTGTGCTTTTTGTACTTCGGAACAGATAAACAACCCAGTGAGCAGCGATCGACCAATGCAACACCAACAACAAGGCGAAATAGTGGGGAACGAGGTCAATTCAAAAGGGTTCTAAACCAAACAGATACAACACACACTGACAACACTGACACGTTGAAAATATCGAGGGATTTCTTCCAACAGGAATTCCACGCAGAAATGGAAGATATGAAACGTGTTGTACAATTCTTCTGCACTGTTGTAACTCTAGGTTTCTTTTCGACTGGAGCGTAAGTGAAGATTAGCTATGCAATTTTTATTTAGTGGATCTGTTGTGTGTATTGTTTAGGCATAATAAAATTATGTAAAAACTTTACAACGTGTTAGAGTAAAATTCATTTTGCAGGAAATATAAGAAAAACAGAAAAAGGGTAGCCACTTGGCTATGACCACTTTATATACATAAAGCAGGGCCGCCGGACGCAGGTTTGAACGGGGGGGGGGGGCAAAACGAATAAAAAGGGCACAAATATATTTTTTTCGAAACATTAGTAAGTGCCAAAAATGGAACAGATTTCATGGTAATTTAGAAATTTATAAGAAAATGACACACGTTGGACATAGTGAGAAGTATCTTCACTGAAAGTAGACATGGCTACTTACTCCATTTAGGTACCACGCAGTCTTGATCATAACATAGTCAATAGAAAAAATTGACAAGTTTTTCTATCGACTATGATCATAATCAATTGTATAGCTTCCCATCTCATGGCCTTCAAAGTTTTTTTTGAGGGTGTAAATCTTTCTTTGATTTATGATTTAAAACTCTATTACAAAACGCTGTACTTATTTTCCTTATAATTTGCATTGTAAGTGGATTTTGCCCCGGGTAAGAAGCAAGCACACATCCTTCTTTCATACCTGTGGCAGGCAAATTTTCTAATCCTATATAAGAAACTTAAGTCTTTGTTTAAGTCTTTGCTAGCATGTTCTCATTGCAGGGACACAACTTTTTCATGTTCATAAAAAAATTTAACACAATCTTCAATCGTTAACTCCTAAAGGCTTTACAACCAATCTAGAGTATTTACTCAAGGAGCATTAGGAAAAAAAATTAACTCAGGAGTAGGATTAATACCATTTCCACCCAGCGCTCCAGTTTGTGATTCCTACAAAATGTTGCATTTGGTTTTGGTTCAACGTTATGTTATGTTATGAAATTATGAATGTTATGAAGTAAGCAATAGTTATAGTTTTACAGCTGTCTGATTTTGTTAATATATATTAAGAACCATAAGGGATTGTTGCTAAAATCAAATTTGGTAAACTCTGCCTTTTAACTTGCCTAGACATAAGTTTAGGAAAAGGAATGGTTCTAACATGAATTGTTATAAAAAATCCCTGCACAATCTTGAATATTCTCAGTGAAAAGGGTTACAAAATTTTGGCAAAGTCACAGAATAGGGTAAATTTTCACAACCCACAATCAGAAATAGGGGTCCAGTTTCTACTTTCAGGAACACACACGATATACATTGGACCAACTGACTGTGCCCGCCAGGTACTTGATGCAGACCTTTCACTAATGCATCTGTTGCTAAAGGCATACTACGAAAATTTTCTCACAAGAATAGTAGTCTCCTTCGAGGTTGATATTATTCATCACAGGAGTTTGAATTTTTTTTGCATCAAGGCCAAGTATTTGTCAAGCATCAAGTCAAAATTTAAGGAAATTCCAGTTAATGGTCCTCCAACAATGTCCAGAGTTATGTTATTTTACTTAGTTTCTAAAGGCAGAATATCTTGCATTGAAAAAATATACATAATCTATTTATTGAAAAAAGGGGTACTTGTTGGCTCCGGTGGCCCTGGAAAGAGAAAACGGGCAGCAATGTCCCTTTATTATAGCTTGAACTAGACATTTGCAGATAGGTAACTCATAAAAAATCAATTGATGTTTGAACCTTTGACTTTTTTGTAAAAATGATTGATTCCAAATAGGTTTCTATATTATGCTTCTTTTATTTCTTATGAAACTGATTTTTTTTACTGTTATTGGGTTTAACTGTTTTATTTCATTAGGTTTTTATTGGAGTGTCCTTTTTGAATAACAACTTCTGTTAAAGTACAACACTCCTTGAAAAAATGAAACATGAAACAAGCTGTTATAACTAACTTAATCAAGATAGATTTACAGAAGTCTTCAAGCAGGTACTTCTTTAAGCCAATCATAACTGCTGTTGAAAATTTCTTGCAAAGCATTGGCTGATTTCCATCAGCAAATTTGCTCAAATTTTTAGCCAGCACTGTCTGATATTAGAAGTCAACTTTTCATAGACATGTTCCATTCTACACCCTCTTTTGTCTACTTGTTCCATCCAAAAATGCTTAAATGACATTTTTCAAATGCAACCAGTTTATTGTCTTCAAGCTGCTAACTAAATTGGTTGCACAGAAGCTGTGGAGCTTTTGCCTGTTAATGAAAATATTTATTCAATAAGTTCTGTTTATTTTGAAATTTTTATTTAATGGGCTTTAGAGAGCAACAGGTATCATCAGAAATTCTCAGTTTATACAAAATATCAAGAATTCAGTTCAAATCCAATGAAGTTTTCATTTTTGTCTTTTTATTCTCTTTGTAGTCTTACATGTCTGAAAATCCGAAGACAGATGTCAGTTGGAGACGTGAATGCTATACCATTTGTAATGACAGCATTGAAGTAAGCAGATTTTATCAGTTGCAGTAAAATTGGATATGATTCATATCTGTAACAAGAAGAAATTGCAGTTAGGACTTTGGCCATATTTTTGTTGAAAGCTTTGAGCTATTGCTTCATATGTTTAATGTCTAATGTCTGTTTTCTGTTTTTATTGATTCATGAGTGGGGAATACTTATCTGTTCTTATGAGGTTTGGGGGACTCTAAATTCAATTATAATTTGTTTTATAAAAGAGATTTTTATCAATGTATAGGTGTTTAATGCAGGTTTTGTTACGGGTGTTTTGACATTTTGTTCTGTATCTAATTCATGAGAAGTGCAACAAACATGTACTTGGCTATCGTCAGCACCCGCACAAACCTGGCACAAAATAAATTTGTGAGTTTTCAAACCATCGTTCTCATTTAATCTGCACAATTCAGCTTCCCAAAATTGGTATTACATACCGCTAATTATCAAGGTGTTAGTAAATAAAGAGAAAGAAGTCTATGTGTTTTCCCGGAGAGGCCTGCTTATGCTTGAAAGACTCAGGTCTACTTGATTTTTCATCTTGTTTTCTACCATTTTCTTACAGACTTCTTGATGCTTTGATAATTTATGCTTGGTTTGAATAGTTTTTCCACGTTATTGAACTTTTTTGATCAAATAGGATTTACATGCTTTTAAGGTTCCTGCCGCAAGATCGTCAAGATTTAGGTTATTGGATATTGTGAAAGTTTTTGGATAGATTTTGAATAGCCACCCCTCCACCCCAACCCCAACCCCAACCCCAACCCCAAACCAACCCCAACCCCAACCCCAACCCCAACCCAAAGAAATAATTGAGAAATGTGTGACATATGGGGGTAGTCGATACAATTCTCAAGGGTTTATGCCCATTATTGCACCCCATATCCTGTAGCACCCGTTTAGAAACCTGTAACCATGTTCAAAGTGAGTCAGTGCTTGAAGAAGGCTCTCCTTGTTGAGTATATGCATAGAAACAATGCTTGCCAAAAGTTTTGGAACACTGACGTCTGTTTCAAGGTCAAATTCAGCCATTCCCCTCTCCTCCAGGAAACAATGTTGGTTTACTATAGAACGGCATAGGAAATTTGAAAGTATCTGCTTTTATGTTGCTTCTGGATATTTGTGTAAACTATCAACATTGTGCTAGGGATAGGAGGTTGAAAATGGTGTTTTTTTCGAAAAGTTATGAAAGATATAAAATGTAATGCAAATTGCTTAATTTTGGCAGGCATTGTAAGTATATTATAGAAACCTTGTTTATAAAGAGTAACGAGACTTCTATTTATCATTATGTTTTAGTCAACTTCTTCAATTTGTTTCCTAAGCTCTGCAAATTCTGAGAGATCTTTCTTTTCAAAATAACATCTAAAAGTGTATAGTTTTCCAGTATTTTCTCGATTGTGTGTATTAAAGCTGGTATTATCTCATCACAGCTGCATTCTTAACAGTGGCTATGGAGTTGTAGTGGATGACGCAACATTGTTTTTCGTCAATGGCATTGGGGCATTGATGCATTTGGTTTATATTGCTGTTTTCTTCATGTACCTTGATGATACCTCTGCTAAGGCAAGTATGCCATGCACGTTTTAAGCAATTTTCACTTTTTGGATAAGTGCTATTTTTTAAAAAAACACCCGCTTAAGAACCGAAGTAATGAAGATGTGAAGTTAGGCATACATACCACCTAATCTGTACCATTCTAGCCTTAAATTCGAAAATTGTCTTATTTTCTGATCAATTTATCAATGAACCAAGTTTGAAAGCTTTAGCTTTTATGGAGCTGGCCTTAGAGACTTTTCAAATTTATGCTTTTCAAGTTGAGAAAGCCAAATTGTAGGTTTTATTCATAAGTGTCTATACACTATAAATATTTGTAAAATTGAAAGCATCAATAACTTTATATGTTGACTAGATATACCATCGTTTCCATTTAAGAAAAATATTTTTTCAGTATATTTTAAAGAATTTGAAAGCAATCAAGGTGTTTGTCAATAGCATTAGCGAGCCCTTCAGTTTACTTTTCATCCCTCAAAACTCCGAGCACATCCTTAACTCTACTTTGAATCTTTTTTTCCGCTAAGATCCTTATACAGTAGAACAGGTAAGGAGTCATAATAAATGTAAACAGGAGCATTGGCACCAAGATAACTTGTTATGATGTTTCTCAAGGTTGGTTTATGCGAAAACCATAAGATTTCACAAGTAACTCTAAGTTTTAATTTGGTATTTACAGGAGTTTTCCCCTTTGTATCTTTTCTACACTTGTTTCTAAATAAAGTTTTTTCTAATTATCTCAAATTCTCAAATTTTTCAGAAAAAATACATTAAGATAATCGGAGCTGCTGCCGCGGTGTTGGCAGCCGCGTCTTTCTTTATCGCCTACAAATCGCAGTACTGCAATCAAAAAGACAATCTTGGAGTGACGTGTAATATTGTGACAATCCTGATGTTTGCATCACCATTATCAACCTTGGTAATTTATTTTTAAGACCACATTTCTATTTTGCCAGTTGAATGTTCAATTATATGGCCTAGTATACGTTGGGCATGATTGAAAGAATTATTTAGTTAAAAATATATGGATATTATTCCCCCTTAGACTATATACACTAATATTCCCCACAGTTTTCTGGTAGATCTCAATGGCAATGATCTCAATGGCAATTTTTTTCAAAGTTCTGTTGCATTACTATGTCATGAACTGCTCGATCTTATTGCATTTCATTGTAATGTAGTAAAAGCTGTGGGTAATGAAACCAAAGATTCCTTTGTTCTGGTTAATCGCTATTTTTTCCTGTACAGCAAAGCTTTCTCTATTTGTTGATTGTTTCTTACTTCCTTTTTTTACTGTCTGCAGGGTAAGGTTATACGAACAAAAAGCACATCTTCGATTTCTTTCCCCCTGTCTTTTATGGTTGTTTTGGTGTCGGTCAGTTGGCTGTCCTATGGGTTGTTACTAGGAGACATCTATGTCCAGGTAAGTCGTTATGTTCTTTAAAACAAGGGACCAGGTCTAATCACTTGCCCTTTATACTCACTTATCATTTCATCCTTCTTGTCCTACATCATTCCGCGTGAAAGTATATTGCAACTTCTTCCTAAGTACATTGAAAACGACTCTTGACAAATTAACTAGATGGTTAAAAGCACTCAGAGTAAACACACAGTGGAATCAATTTTGACTGAGCGGCATATGCAGTACGCTAATCCGAGTAATTCTTGTCAAACAGTTCAAAGCAGTTGATACTTAATAATAACATAATCTGTGGTTATAAAATTTTCCGATAATCAGGCTCTCTTAAAAAAGTGTTTCTTTTTTAAAATTGGGTCATGATGATTTAGAAATTGTTCATGGCACTGCATCTGTCATCGTGTTGCTCTCGCCCTTGTGCCTTCGTTCTAGGGTAGCCAATCAGTTTTATGTATTCTTTCAATTCTGGAACATTATTTCTGATAATAGCATTGCTGATAATAAGCTAGTTGTATATTATTACAAGTAAACAGTTTGTGACGTAATGACTAACCTAAAATTATTCTTGGAACCTCAGGACTAAATGTGGGATATAGGTATCTGATCGCATCGAGAGGGTTTTGATTCCCCTACTTTCAAAGGAATTGTTTTATTAAGATATTGCATGTGTCATCCTGTTGCTGTTAGAATAATTGTTGGTTAGCCAGTCGGTTTAATAATATGGTTTAAGGTATTCCGTGCAATTTTGGAATATTTTTGTGTCAATAAAATTTCTGATAGTAAGTGAGGGGAAGTGTTTTGAATAATCCTTAAGATAGTGTTGGGCTACTGGTTTGTAGCTAGCTTTTTCTGAATGTTTTAAAAACATAAATCAAACGTTTTTGTGAGTTTTTAGCCTTCGTTCTATCAGTCAAATTTTTACCTTCGAGTAATTACACAGTTTTTAATTCAATTTTATCTTGGGTTGTACGAACTATAACTTTTTTCTTTGTAGATTCCGAATTACATTGGTGCTGCTTTGGGTGTAATCCAACTCTCACTGTTCTTCATCTACCCATCAACTGCCAGTAAAATTGTACGATCTTAGTTTAAATTGTTGATTTGTAATATTTGCTAGAATTTTTGTGTTTGCTCGAAGGACTCTTATTCGCGCAGTCAGGACAGTCAATACTTAATTGATGGGGTTATTTTGGTATTTATCAGTGGAGTTAAACCATTGAGAAAGGATTTGTTTTGGCACCAAGATTAAATACTTGGTCATTTCTTAGTTTATAATCACTATGAAAAACAAAATATTGATTCAAAGCTGAATCATTCTGGTTGGGCAAGTAAAAAAGTAAATGGACTTTTTGACTTGTTCAGAGAACTCCCGGGTGGGTGTCCCAGGTGAAATCATCCAATTTTATCTGATTCGGTCTCTAAATCTTATTTGATTATTCAGTTATTAATTAATTATTTTTTGCAAAAATTGTCATCGTTGAATTTTATTTGACGTAAAATGAATAAATATTAAAAACTCTTTCCTAGAAACACAAATAACTCATTCAATGTCAATTTTCATCCATAGATGTAATGAAACTTTACAATAGACATTTAACATGCTTAAAAATCATACCACCGAGATATGAAGTGTTGAAAAGTCATTTTTCTTTAACTTCTCGCATTTCTCATAAGAAAGTGTATTATTTGCCTATAACTCCTTTTTTAGAAGTATTTAAGTAATTTTCGGATTGACGTTATTTTGATAAGTAATTCAAGTCTGCCTACATCTCTAGGGTAGACTTTGCGATGCTATCAGGAAGCAAAATATATTATGTATAGCTGCAATACATATATATGTTTGCATAAATTACTTGCTTTGTTTTGTAGCACGACGCTGTGGTCTAGTGGTCTTCTCTAGAGGTGGAAGGTCACAAGTTCGACTAACTTTTCCTTTTGCTTGCAACACAAAGTTTTTGCCTCATTCATTATTTGTTCATAAATCAGCTAATTTTAAGACATGTAGAGTAATGATGTAGAAGGTGAGGAATAAATACTTCTGGGCGGTAGGTCTATTTTTTATTTTAAGTGCGCAATCAGATTTTATCAGTTTTTGGCCCGTCATCTCAAATAAAGTATTTCTGCATTGTTTTGTGGGTGCGGCTTATAATCAAGGGCGGCTTAACTGCAGGGGCGTCGTAGCTGGGGGCAGGGATAGGCACTTGCCCCCCTTTATCATCGACCATTCGGCAATTTGTCAGAAATTTCGTATATGCTTAGCAAAATAAATTTTGTAGTTTATAGAAAAGGAAGGAAGTTCAAAGGAACTAATCTGTATAATTTCTATAAAAAGGGGTATATAAAGAAAAAAGTTTTCCGAAGACCGTGAATTTCATGGTTATTTATTTTACAGTCTGCCTATCCAAGTCTGTACAGGTTCATTTGCACAGGAAATGGCAAGCTTGCCTATTTGCATTACTAAATTTGAGTGCCCTATTTTAAAGCTAAAGCGTGTAAGAAACAGGCTGCGATCAACAACGGGCCAAGAGAGGATAAATGAATGCTCAGCCTGAATCATCTGACATTCAGTTATGATGAAGTACTCAGCAAGTTTGCTGACACACCTATTGTTAAAGAGACTTCTTATGTACTAAAAATCGTGCAGTTCGTTTTCTTGGATTCTTAAGATTTTAGTTATTGTAAGATTCACTGTTCATCACAGATACTGATTACTGATGATTATGTTTATCTAATGTTCGAATTCAAATGCTGGCTTTGCTCTGACAGATATGTTGAAATCAGTAAAATGTTGCTGGAAAAGTTACATATTGTTTGCCATGTCTTTCTGCATTTAAAAAACTGCGCAGGTGCTTGAAGAAGTCATAATTTTAATTTATACCCGTTCTCGGAAAATATGCAAGCTCTTTCCCCACTAAGAGTCACTGCTCACGTCGCCCCTGTGCTAAATGTTTTAATGAACCCAATTTGTTGCGGCTTGCGATCGAGGGGTATGTGGCCACAATTATAAAAATAGTTTTTGAGAATTCACCCTCAAGAACTGTCCTACGGAGGAGATTTCCCTTCCCATCATTCCGAGCAACGCACGTGCCATCAAAAATTTTGAACTTGTTTAAAAACAACATGGCTTCCAAATAATTTCTTATCGACGTCTGGTGTACTTTTCCTGGTAGAAATATCCTAAACAATCATCTTCGAGGCAATTGAAGATAATGTCATGAAGGTATGTAGTATCAAAATAAAACAATTTTTAACTTTTTTTATTTATAAACCTTATTATTTTCACCTGCTCTTCTTGTGTAGAAAATTGGATTTAATAGTCTTTCGAATCTTTCGAATCTCGACTGTCTCGAATACAAACATTTGTGTTACTCTATCTTTTGTGCTTTTCCAATTAAATAGTCTTCTAGTTATGTTTGTAACCCACCAAATTTAATCCGTCCCGGGCGCCCGGGCCAGGGGGAAGGTGTCAACCCAAACAAAATAACTTCTACACTTACGTTCAAAAAGTATTCGAAATTTCGAAGAAATTTTAGGCAAGAGATTTGAAAAGACTTTTTAACAATCTTTTTCATTAAGAAAGTACGGCAGCTATTTCCATAAAATTTTCGCAAGACATTGTTGGTGTTTCGAAGCCTTATATGTGTGCGAAACCATTCAAAAAACATCAACCATAAAATTTCTTTAGGCCTTGAGACGTAAACATGAAAGTTGAATCAAGAACTGAGTTATGAGAAGCGCTTTGAAATTGCTTTCTACGAAAATAATGCGAATCGGTTTCGTTCAATTGCATCAATTGATGGCTGCTCAATGGGTGCAGCTTTTGTGGTGTGTAAAAAGTTTTTCCTTAAAAAAAGAGTAAAAAATTCACCAAGGGTTGGTAGACCGAAGAAGTTTACGACGCCGAGAGACGAAAGGTCCTTTCTGAGGAAACTGCGAGGGAATAGGTTTGAATCCGTACCAGAGATTATATGGTCGTATAAAAAGAATCTAAGTTTAGGAACATACTGTAAATCCTCGAATAAGCCCCCCCATTCGAATAAGCCCCCAACTAGAAAATCATTTTAGCAAATTAGCCCCCCCCACCAAATAAGCCAAGCATAATTGCAGAGTAATATCTTATTTCAAGAAAGCCCCCACAAGACAATAGCTATACAGTATTACTTTCTTTGACTGGAGACCAAAAAGCAAAAGGGCGACTTTTGTGATGATAAACAGTTATAATATTTGTTCGATCTTCACACAACACTTTGTAATTCACGCGCCTTTACTTCTCTGCTAGTTTAACCTTTATTATTCTTATTTAATTCTTATATTAAATTGAATTATATTTGCGATTTTCCACGGTGTTCGTTCGACACTTACTATTTACTTACTATTCTCAATAAAGTTTGTCTTTACATCGAATAAAGTTTACAAGCTTTGTTTGTGATTTAGTTTGTGATTTGTGATTGTGATAAAGTTTGTAATTTTCCATGGTGTTACTTCAAGCCCTTAAAGTGATGTTTAGTTTCTCTGCCCCTATTTTCTTTGGTCAATTTGATAGAATTGTTTTTAATAATTTCTCCTTAAAGCAAAAAATGACTATGATTTTTCATGATAACTTTTTGATATAGGCCCTAGACGCACCGAACAAAACTTCTGGCACACTTAATCTCTATTGTTCATAGAGGAAAGGGATTAAACTTGTTAGTAAACAAATGCTGATTTTCCAGTGCGGCCACCCAAATTGCCACTGAACCAAGTTCACTAATCTCTCTAAGGTTCCATCGTCCTGCCCCCGAGCAGGACAAACTCTGGAAAACGGAAATGATTAGCAATTAATTAACGCATTTTCCTGGTGCCGCACAATAGCCAAAGTCAAATCGTTCTTTGTTTTAAACCACATTACATTAACCTAACAGCAAACAACCACTTCACACACGAACTGCAGCACGCTCGAATTTCCAAGCGGAAATCGAATTATCTTTGTCAACTTGAAAAAGTATTCTCGATTTTCCACTTTGACAAAGATAATGAGCTTTATGTCAGAAATCAGTGCGTCCAGGGCCTAAGCCCTCAAAGATTCTGTTGTCCTGCCCTAGAGCAGGACGAGCTCTGGAAAATAGAAATGATTAGCAATTAACTCATTTTTCTGGCGCCACAGAATACCCAAAGTCAAATCATTCTTTGTTTTAAACCACATTACATTAACCTAACAGCAAACACACCAACTGCAGAGCGCTTGAATTTCAAAGCGGAAATCGGCTTACCTTTGTCAAACTTGAAAAAGTATTCTCGATTTTCCACTTTGACAAAGATAATGAGCTTTATGTCAGAAATCAGTGCGTTCAGGGCCATAGAAACTATAGACCTATTGGGATGTAGAAATTATAGATATAGAAAGACATCGTTTATGAGTCACACATACACGAAAAAAGGAATTGATAGAGTCAAAGTTCAAAACAGGATCGCGTTTAAACTCTAAAATCAGATAATTATAAAAAATTCAGATGAAAAAATAAATTATTTCATCAGTTTCAAATTTAAATTTCACAGTTGTAAGGTGAAACAAAACAAACCGACAACTTAATTGGAGACAATTTAACATTTACTTCTCAAGCTGCTGTGCAATTGCTATTTATACCTTGCTTTATCGTCACAAGTTTTGTCCGTCTAATTGGCATAGCTCAAGAAAAAGACGATATTAAAGTTTTAAAACATTATATATTACATCTTCCCTCCACTAGCTTACAGATCCAGCCTGACCCGACTGGTACCACCTGGCAGGGTTCCCTAGCTCAGGGCTACGAGCGATGGCCAACGGCTAACTCGGCGGGAGACCGGCAAGGAGGGCGGATGAGCTACGACTCCAGGGGTTAACGGCTTCGAGTGGAAGAACTCCTGGAAAGAGGGATGGTGTCCCTTGAAAAACAATGTAGAGGTGGTTCTTGAGGTCCATCTCTACTATTAGCCCCTTAGTTTTTACTATGACCATGACAAAAAAACAAAACTCAGATTTTGGGATAGTTGGAGGGTCATGGCAGCCAACCTTCTGATAGAAGATTGTACCTGATGATGATGATGATGATATATTACATCGTTATTAAATTGCCCCACAAACACAATTTTGGTTTCAAGATTCTATATAGTTGGCTTTGGTTTCTTGTGATTCTATAGGACCAAGAATTCATAATGGTTGGCATATGCTCAAAAATTTGGTTTTCTATTATAATGTACTGTATAATTTTGCTTCCAAGTTGAAATAGAATCTACTTGCTTTTCCTGCAAATTTATGTTACATTATAAATCTATTTCAAAAGATTTTCTTTAAAATGGAGTGTTATGTAAAGAACTTAATCATATAATTGATGAGCATGGCAATTAAACATGCATATTAGCAATATCCAAACCTCTACTTTTAAAAATAGGGTCTGGAGTAAGCGTTGCGACGGTGGGGGGAGGGGGTTAGGGGACAGACCCAATGCACAGAAAGTTTGTGTATGAGAGAAGAGCAAATCTGCAATAAAATTAGTACCTCAGGGGAGGGGGCAGTTAGATTTTCAGACAAAATTGAAACATTTAAAAGACTGTTGGCAAAAAACTGTAGAAAATATTCTGAAATTTTAAGCTAATCTTAAGGGCGTGGTCTCAAAAATGTTTCTTTTCCCTCGTTTTAAGGGAAAAGGTTCCCAATAGAAGTTAAAGTGCTAAAGCGCTTCAATCCCTAAAAAATTTGATTCTGAAATGCTTGCCGGGGATTTTGCAAATTTAGATCCAAAAAGAACGGACTTAGTTTGAAACTTATGCATATTGCGTCTTATTTTTACATATTTGCTTGCAACTTTGGAAAATGAGTCTCTACACGTAGCGCTTCCTCGGATTACACAATTCAGAATATAAACGCAGAAGAACTGTGAAGGAAATAGACCTTTGTCACGCAAAAAAAGCTACCTATGACGGTTATTGTGTTTGATTACCAGCCATTGCCACATAAAAAAGCCATAGTTTTCCAAACGCATTTGCAGAAAAGGCCTAGAGTGGTTTTTGTTTTTTCTGCTCCTTTCATCTTTGGCTAATTTGATCTTTCATTTAATTTCACGTCAGTTTTTCTTTAGATTGAATAAAGTTTTTGATTTGCATTGTGTTTCTTCAAGGCTTGGAGTGATATCAATTTTTTCTGCCCCTTTCCTCTTTGGCTAATTTCATCCTTCATTTATCCTCAATAAAGTTTTTGTTTCGATCGAAAATATTTTTTCTTTTGAATGGTGTTTCTTCAAGGATTAGAGTGGTGTTTATTTTTTCTGCCCCTGTCCCCTTTGGCTAATTCTATCTTTCATTTATTCTCAAAAATGTTTTTCTTTCGATTGAATAATTTTTTTGATTTGCATGGTGTTTCTTCAAGGATTGAAGTGATATCAATTTTTTCTGCCCCTTTTCTCTTCGGCTAATTTCCTCTTTCATTTATTCTCAATAAAATTTTTGTTTCGTCCGAATAAAGATTTTGATTTTAATGGTGTTTCTTCAAGGCTTGAAGTGATATCAATTTTTTATGCCCCTTTCCTCTCTGGTTAATTTAATCCTTCATTTATTCTCAATAATATTTTTCTTTCGATCAAATAATTTTTTTGATTTGAATGGTGTTTCTTCAAGGCTTGAAGTGATATCAATTTTTTTCTGTCCCTTTCCTCTTTGGCTAATTCCATCTTTCATTTTTTCTCAATAAAGTTTTTCTTTAAACCGAATAATTTTTTTTGATTTCCATGGTGTTTCTTTAAGGTTTAAAGTGATATTTATTTTTTCTTACCCTTTTCTCTTCGGCTAATTTCCTCTTTCATTTATTCTCAATAAAATTTTTGTTTCGTCCGAATAAAGATTTTTATTTCAATGGTCTTTCTTCAAGGCTTGAAGTGATATCAATTTTTTCTGCCCCTTTCCTCTTTGGCCAATTTACTCTTTCATTCAATCGCAATAATATTTTTTTTACATGAAAAAAAAGATAATGATTTGCACGGTGATTTTTCAAGGCTTAAAGTGATGTTTATTTTCTGCCCCTTTCATCTTCGGCTAAATTAATCTTTCATTTTTTCTCAATAAAGTTTTTGTTTCGATCCAATAAAGTTTTTGATTTGCATGCTGTTTCTTCAAGGCCTAAAGTGATGTTTATTCTTTCTGCCCCTTTTCTCTTCGGCTAATTTCCCCTTTCATTTAATTGCAATAAATTTTTGTTTCGT